CTGCTTCAAGTGGCGAGAAAGGCAAGAGAATCTGTATGTTGAAGAGGAAACTGTTTTTTTTTAAGTTTAAGACAATGATTTCCATCAGATGGCTAGCTCTGTGTGGTCCGACATGCCAACCGAGACTTTCACAGAGGAACTTAATAATTTTTTGTCCTATAATCGAAAAAAATTATTTTACGAACTAATATAATCAACTTTTGAAATTCATAAGACTTTCTATTTCTCTTAAACGACAAAAGACTATATGCTCCATTAGTCGAAAACGTCAACATAGAGGTGAGTATATGCTCCATAATGGTATACATGATTGGTATAAATAAATCCATTGTATACACACCAGTCTCTCAAATGTGTCAGTAAGACCGGTGTAACACAATGTAAATAAATCATCTATTGTCCAACAACATAGTCATTGACCTGGGTATTTCATTAACTTTCGTAAAGGTCATATGAATAAACACTGACCAGTATCTATATTATATATCGATATTTTTAGCTAACTTTTCTCGTCAGTGAGGTATGGTGTAATTTGGTATAGATGTCGGACTACTGGATCTGGAGGTCTCTGTCTCGTTTTTTTTACCAACACCACGTTATGATTATTTTTTTAGCTCACCTGTCACAAAGTGACAGGGTGTGCTTTTGTGATCGCTTTTCGTCCGGCGTCCGTCCGTCGTCCGTCCGTCCGTCGTCCGTCCGTAAACTTTTACTTTAAATGACATCTCCTCATAAACCACTAAGCCAATTTCATCCAAACTTCTCAGGAATGTTCATTTGGTGGTCACCTTTGAAAATTGTTCAAAGAATTTAATTCCATGCAGAACTCTGGTTGCCATGGCAACCGAAAGAAAAAACTTTAAATATCTTCTTTTAAAAAACCATTAGAGCTAGAGCTTAGATATTTGGCATGAAACATCTTCTATAGTGAGTGTCTACCAAGTTTGTTCAAATAAAAGCCTATATGCATGTAGTAAAAACTTAAAAATCTTCTTTTAAAGAACTCAAAGAGCTATGGCTAAGATATTTAGCACCAAACATGTTCTAATAGGTGTCTACCAAGTTTGTTCAAATAAAAGCCCTGGGGTCAAAATTGGCCCCGCCCCAGGGGGTCATTGATTTTCCCTATATGCATATAGTAAAAACTTAAAAAAATCTTCTTTTAAAGAACCAAAAGAGTTAGAGCTAAGATATTTAGCATGAAACATGTTCTAATAAGTGTCTACCAAGTTTGTTCAAATAAAAGCCCTGGGGTCAAAATTGGCCCCGCCCCGGGGGGGGGGGGGGTCATTGTTTTTCCCTATATGCATATAGTAAAAACTTAAAAATCTTCTTTTAAAGAACTCAAAGAGCTATGGCTAAGATATTTAGCATCAAAACATGTTCTAATAGGTGTCTACCAAGTTTGTTCAAATAAAAGCCCTGGGGTAAAATTGGCACCGCCCCGGGGTCATTGATTTTCCCTTATATGTGTATAGCAAAAACTTAAAAAATCTTCTTTGAAAAAACCCAATAGCTAGAGTTAAGATATTAAGCATGAAACATCTTTTAGTGAGTGTCTACAAAGTTTGTTCAAATAAAAGACCTGGGGGGGTCAAAAATTGGCCCAGCCCCGGGGGATAATTGATTTTCCCTTATATGTGTATAGCAAAAACTTAAAAAATCTTCTTTGAAAAAAACCCAAAATAGCTAGAGTTTAGATATTAAGCATGAAACATCTTCTAGTAAGTGTCTACAAAGTTTGTTCAAATAAAAGCCCTGGGGTCAAAACTGGACCGGCCCCAGGGGTGTCATTGTTTTTTAACTGTAAATGTGTATAGTAAAAAACTTAAAAAAAATCTTCTTTTAAAAAGCCCAATGAGCTAAAGCTTAGATGTTTAGCATAAAACATCTTCTTAATGGGTGTCTACCAAGTTTTGTGCAAATAAAAGCCCTTGGGTTAAATTGGCCCTGCAACGTGGGGGTGGGGGGGGGGAGTTGGGGGGCCTATATACAGGTGAGCGACCTCAGGGCCATCATGGCCTCTTGTTTAATTTACTTGCAAGAATTAATCAAAATCGTTTTTCTACACGTACCTGGTTTTTAGAAAAACATTTTAAGTGATTTTTTTATACACAATTAATTTTTTTATTTTATTTTAAACAGTATCTTCAACGGTTCTCTTTGTTGCATTGTGCAATCGTACATGCTTTAGCGCGTACATGCTATAAAGACAGTTATTAATAATACTTAACAGATGGTAAACCGAAAGGTTTGCAAAAGTTTTTTAATAGAATGGAAATTTTTAAAATTAAAATAAAATAAAAGAGAAAAAATCGTTAAATAAGTATCGAACCTACCAGTTTACGTCAACCATTCTTCAAGTGAAAGCCCTTTACCAACTGCGCTAAGACGGATTTTTAAGTTTACACTTTTTTGAGAATTGGATATAGATTTACATTCATATCAATTTATAAGTAGATCGTAACGTTTACGGAATATACCGACTACAGGGTCAAATGCAAGAGTGCCAGGTCAATGTTGTTGGACAATACCTATCTTCCCGCGCTTTAAAACCGACAGTGATTTTTCTCACTTAACTGGGAAGAGGCCTTAGCCTCTTAATTTTGGGGAAAATTATCTATAAAATTGCTGATTTGGGAAGTAAGAAAGCTGGTTTTAGTTCTGATTTTCGGGAAAACTGCAAAATGATTTTAAAGAAATTCAATTGGGAAGAGGCCTTTTCTCGGAGTCTGTTATATAAGTAGAACAAATCACTGACCGATTGCTATAGACCCAAGGTATGCTTTAGGTAATAAAAGTTGAGCATTTCAATTTATGATGCTACTCAACATTTCTATTTAACCCTAAATACATATATAAATCAACAGTTTTATTATCTAACACCAGTAAATATTTTTACGTCTCTCAGTACTGATCACGGGAAACAACCGTTGCTGATACACTATACCTAGGGTTAGGGTTCTTCCCCTGACCAGTTAAGTACAAAAAATGTATTGTAATCCGAATTTATGAGAGATTAAAAATATAACACGGCTTTTGTAAATCATTAAGTTAGTTTTCTTTTTAATAGGGTTAGATGTACGGTGGCACAGAGGTGACGTGTTTTCATTTATCTCGTGCGCACGAGATACTATGTCGAGCGCACCTGTTACTAAGTCGTGCGCACTTTAAAAACTCGTGCGCACGAGATAATTACGTCATAGTAACTCGTGCACACCACATAGTGTCTCGTGCGCACGAGATAAATAAAACACACACAGATGCGTTTAGATGCGTTTCAACTAGTGTGACAGTAGGAGGAAGTCCAGGCGACTCCCTTTAATAGAGGAAAAGCGTAAATTAATATACATTATTCTGTATGCAATATAATGATTCAAAAATGGACGGAAGTAAATATGTATATGTAATACATTAAGCTATGAGCAGTGGAATTCTGAATATGTAAAATAACGGATTTCTCTTAACTATGTGTTACAAAATTATTTAAGACCAAACCAACTTCGTAGCGTGTTTATTCGTTCAATGGAGTACATAGAATGTTATAATTCTCAGGGAATCGCTTCCAACTGAGATGAGTGATTAAATAGAAATAGTCACCATCATCATCTTTTCTGTGTGTTTCATGATACATATATAACAGAAAACGTTAGTCTCTAAAGGCACATTGATCCGCAGAAATGTCTTATATGTTTACTTTAAAAGTTAAGCATTTGTTTTGTTATATTTTATCTATAGTGGATTTGGAGCATGTAAGATACTTACCACGTGCAGGAAGAACCGTTAAATGTGTAGTTATTGTCATAACACTGACAAAATGTAAACGAAGTGGTATTTTGAATTACATACAAAATACTAAACTACTATGACATTAATTAATATAGTCAAAAAGCAAAAGAAGTAAAAATATTATGTTACAGCTATATGACCAATGGGTAGCATTTTAGAAACTGTAACAGCAAGTTTTAGAAATAGAAAAAGGACTTGATGGATTCTTTAAGATTTTTTTTGAAAACGATTTGCCTCCCTTTGAACTTGATTGATTATTATCTACATATAACATTGATTTTTTACATACAGAAACTGTGCCATGATGTCATTGATAGAACGGAGGAATGAGAAATTATAGCGAGGTGATTTACCTCGCAAATGTCCGTCGTGTGATTACAGTGTGTGTTGTAGCCATCGCTAGCTGCCTTTATTTTATCACTTTATACTGGAATACAAGAGAAACAATTAAATACAAGACAATTTCTTTGTAAAGGTAAGCTGCATGTGTTCTTGTATTACTTTTTATTTGATATAAACATTTCATATTTTCATCAGTTGTGAATGTTTTTTTAAATCATTTATTTTAATGTTAAAATTGTTTTTATGTGATTCGTGTTTTTCCGCTTTGTTTATATTGAAAGAAGTTTACATGATAAAATTTTTCGTATTCTAAAATCGAAAATATTGAAATACTTATTTCTTCGTGTATTATTTTCTAATATTGGAACTTACAATTATTTGCCCGAAAGAATGTTTAATTTAGTGACCATGTTACTGGAATATGATGGTAATTGATTTTATATTTTTTCATAATGGAGTCGGCTATTTAATCAAAAGTCCCCTTTGTGTCAAAAATTTTAGAAACATTTTAACAACGGATTATAGAGGAATCGATTGCCGTCTTTTAGATTCAATACTATAGGGCAACATGTAGCTAATATAGAAGAAATTTAATTAACTTGTCAGACATTAACAAACCCTTTTTTAAAAGCGATACCGAATATTTTGAATAGGAGAATGTAGAACTTTCAAAATTCACCCTTTTCATTTATGCGTTATCTTTAATTTATTTAATATTTGTGAATTTAGGAGTGCATTTATTTGTCCTTGTATGATCGTATATCGTTATTTACAACTGTTTATGTTACTCGTATCTTTATCATAATTTTGGTAAATGATCCATTTTTGGTAGTCGACACAAGCGAACTTGTACCCCTACAAAATATTTAAAACATGAAGCGACTTCAAAATAACAAGGCCACACAAGTTTCAAGAACTTGACTATGAGGGGAATAGTCAATGTTTCATTGGTGGTTACAACCATGCTGATATACAGGTACTGTTCATCTGTCATATACTTTACAGTCAGTTATGGCTAGTTTAAATAATTTATTTAAATCCAGTAAGCATTATCTGGTCTCGTTTTCTCATAACCATACTTATAGATATCAAAACTGAATATCCCAAAATTACTTTTTTATGTAGATTATGTAATTATATAAGTTTTTGGTTTTATTTTGATTTGATTGGGTTTTACAGTATGGGTCATATGGCGAGGCACGAACGGACACCTGAGTAGAACCACCGACGTTCCGTAAGCTAGTTGGAATGGTTGTAAATAACACGTGTTTTGCTAATGAATATAATTTAATTTTCAGATGGAGGATATTTGGGATAGAATAAGTTTAGGTTACCCGGACTTTGTTGTAACGGTTACCGGTTGGTTGGACACAATTCAGGTGAAGTCATGGACCGCCAAACCGCTTCATGTTATAGTTATGCCCCATTCACACCAAGACCCAGGTAATACTTTATAGCAAAGTTGACATATGACAAAAATACATAATGTCTCATACAGACCATGAGTTGGTACTTTGTAATATCCCATTAACCATCACGATGAGGAAAATTCATACTGAATTTAAATAGTAAATCTTGACTCCTATCGTATACAAACTGGCATCATGAAGACATCACATTGAATTTATGAATAACAACAGAAAATAAGAATTTTCGAATGTACAAATATTTGTTATTGATATCAATGAAATGTCACCTCTGTACAAAAAATAACATATTTAATGAAATTTATAGCACCTCCATAGAGTATTTATAAACAACCTGTCATCTTGCCAGTAAGTAAAATTTGTTGAACCTCGGTGCTTTATGCCGTCTGTCAAACGTAAACAAAATTTGGCAATCTAATTGATTTTGCAAGATAATTGATCAAATGAAATAGTTTACACAATATGTGTGGTTCAATATATTTGTAGATCAAACTTATATATCACGAATACATCATGTATATTTGGTTTGATCTGGGATTACACTGACAATAGACTGGCAGTGACCTGTTTGATAAAAGATACATCTCGGGGGGTTTATTTATATTGCGCATTTATTTGGCATGAAGTTTTAAATAATGTGAGTTAGCCGCACAATAATAAAGATTTAAATAGATAAACGCTATCTAATATAAACATTTATTTAATCACATTCCGTCGAAAAGTAGGCTTGAAATCTCTCAAAATATTTATATCTTACCGATAATTTTTAAGTGGACCTATTGAGAAACTCAAGATTTCGTATTTAATCGATAGATATACACGCATAAAATTTATGCAAAAATGCATTCGTCGGGGATCCCATGAGACTTGGACCCCATGCTCGTGGTGATAAGGGATTACCGGGCCACTGCCAGATGAATCTGATGGTGGGTTCTTAAGTTAAGGGCCAAGGTGGATTAAGTAGATTCTAAAATCTCCCTCCATTTACTTGGCTATTAGCGCTAATGTAGGGGATGGTCATTTATTTTTTCGCACTTCATGTTACCGTAGCAGGTTTTTGTTAAGTAAAATCAGTTTTGGCTAATGGGAATTATATAGAGGTCGATCTCGTCATGTGGGCTTATAATTTTCTTCTGAAGTCATGGCCAGTGCCATGATCACGGTACCAGATAGGTATGAAAAACTTAATGAAGACGAAAAAAAATCGAGAAAAGTCTTTTCAAGATCCCTAAAGTAAAATTTTGTAAGATTTCGATCAGGTTCTTAAGAGTAGGGTCTTAAATAATACAGTATAATGAGCGGATTCTGAGTGTTAGTTTTATATAAACCAGGCTGGCTGGAAACATTAGATTCGTATTTCTCCATGTCTACTCAACCAACACTTGATCTCATGATAGAGAAACTGACAACAAACCCAACCTGGTCGTTTATATGGACAGAGGTCGGCCTATTACAAATGTGGTGGACAAAGGCAACCAATAAACAAAAATCATTGTTTAAAAGGTAATTATGATATAAATATATCAAAAATGCCGGCATTTAATCAGTCTTTGAACTATAACTGACAGGTATTCGTGCTGTACATATGAAAACCGACCGTAACAACTTAAATAGAGAGCTTGAATATTCATTAGTAATAATACTTAATGCTTTGAAAAATATTATAACGAACTTTAAAACCTATATTATGATAACTCATCAATCATTCTAGGTTCTAGCAGTATGAAACACATTACTGTAATCTATTAGTAGGCGAATTTGTTTGGTTTCTTTATCCTTTGTTTTGGACAAAAATGTCATTCAATAAATGAAATGAAGTCGCTTGAAATGATTATGAAATTCCATGTGATATTTACTTAGTTTAGTGCAGAGGGGTCAGCTAGAGCTTGTATATGGGGCATGGATTATGACAGACGAGTCTGTGGCTCACTATGGTGCCATGCTTGACCAGCTTACAGAGGGACAACTGTGGCTAAAACACAACCTTAGTATGTATTAACCAGCTTTTTGTTATGTGATTCTACAATCAGTCTTAATTCAAGCTAAAATATGTACCAGTATACATAACATCAGTACTGGTAAGTTTGAAAGACGTATGAACGTGTTTCGCAAGTAAATGCGTTTCAACTTAAGTATTATTTTATTAAGTGTGTAATACAAGTACATTTTTCATATGTCTTTATAGACATATCTATGTCTAATTATCTGTTTATTTCAAGATGTAACGGTAGAAAACAGCTGGGCTATTGATCCATTCGGTCATTCATCTACCATGCCTTATTTACTTGGTCAGTCAGGGATTCAAAACATGGTAATACAACGGGTGCATTATGCAGTAAAACGACATTTTGCTGAACAGAAGGATTTTGAATTCATCTGGCGACAGAATTGGGGTTTGTTGTTTTAATAAAGATACATTTGTTTCTCTAAGTAACTCGGAGCAAAGTGTTTATTTAATATCATTATGTCATAATTGACGCTAAAGTAATAAAATATCATTATTGTCATAATTGACGCTAAAGTAATAAAATATCATTAATACACTTTTACTAAATATAGTAACAAAATTGCCCATGATTTCAACTGATTATGAGTGTCACGTGACCTATTATGAGTTTGCGGCCCGGGGCCGGGAACTAGTTATGACGTCAGAGTTTACGTCATCAAACAGTTAACTGTAAAAGTAAAAGTAGGTTTTTAGCACGAAGCGATTGATTTTATTATGAGAGATTAAGCGTATTTCGTACAAACACAGTTTTTTAACTATTGAAATTTAGATAAATAATACGACAAATTCATACCGAAAAACTGAAAATAATACTTGCTTCTAGATTCTAGTGCAATTTGTACACATAAAAAGTAAACAACTCTGTATCAATACAAAAGTATCTGTAGGCCCCTACAGAGGAATTTCAACGAAAGAAATATCAAAGTATTTGTTGTAGAAAAAATGCTACTATTAGATCTACCAATTGTATTAAAGACATTAATACACGTCATAGTTGGCCAGAAAGTTATAATCGGCCCTGAAATGAATAATGCCCTCGGGCTGAAGCCCTCGGGACCATTATTCATTTTGCGGGCCGATTATCACCTTCCGGCCCTACTCTGCCGTGTATTAATCTCTTATTATTGTCATAATTGACGCTAAAGTAATAAAATATCATTATTGTCATAATTGACGCTTAAGTTAGTACACCCCTAATGCACTGTCTCCACTTTGAAGAGTATTCAAATAGGCTAAAATCACTGTAAAGTGTATTGAAACTGGGAGGGGGCGTGGGTTCAAACCCCAGAAGGGGCAATTTTTTTTCTTTTTTTTTTTCTTTTTAACATTTTTTATTAATCTCTCAGACCCCCTATGGAAGAAAAAAGTGTTTTATTTTAATTATATAATTATTGTAGGTATTTATTTTCTAAATAATGCCAAATATAATAGCAAATTTATTTTATATGATACCAGATATTTTCAAAGTTTAATAAAATAAAAACTAAACGGTGAAAGTATTTTATATTTTGCAAGACCAACCAATATACATTAAAGAAAATTTAGGCAAACTTTGAAAATAGCCCCTCATTTTGGAAAATTTTAGGGATATTTTAAATAAGGCTTTTTACATAGGGAAATGGTCAAATTAGTGTTAAAAGTGCGTGGGGTAGGGTTACATTTTTATACATATTAAAAACATTTCGTTTAAAAACAATCATTTTGCTTGTTTAATTTGTTACCTATATGTCATTGTTTATTTCTTAACAATGAGCAAAAGGAAAACATTTTTCATAATGATGATATTATAGATTATTTAGATTTTCCTCATTTCTGAAAAAATCCCTTCTAATGGCAAAGTTTTAGTTCATAAAAATGTCCATAACTCATTTTCTATCGATTGACTTAAAAAAATACATAATTTATTTTGAGAACACACCAATGACTGAATATAGTATTTTAAATTATATTGTAATATTGACGCTCATGTAACAATTGGTTAAGTTGGTATATCTATTTAAAACAAACAACCATAAAATACCATTTGAGTTTGTCGATGATAATGGAGTATAAGTTACAGACCAAGACAAAGTTTTAGATTATTGGAAAGATAGTTTTAAAGATCTTTTTAATGGTTTCTCTGGTAATGGGTCAAAAAGATGCACAGATAGATCATAACAGTTTTATTACACAGCTAGACAATACTATAACAGTAAATAAAGACAAAAAAGTCATAGATAAAACTGACTTCTGTAAAGTCTGTGGGTTTTATAATTTACGCTATGAAGCTTTTAAAATTGATACAGCAGTTTCTTTTTTGCATGTATTTTTGTGTCGCCTTTAATGTTTTTTAAAATTATTTTCAAAGTTTTAACCGGACTACTCTCATACCACTTATGCAATTTCAATGCAATTGATTTGTATTGTGTGTATTTGAGTTTATTTGTAATCGCCACCAGTTGCCCATATGGGCGAGTCCTCCAGAAGAGTTTTAGTCATTTTAGATTTTGGAAGATACAGATACAGAAAGATGCCCATATTCCAAAAGCTTCTCCTGGTTCTTTAGTGTGCCAAGTGTTTAAGCACTCAAACACGGGACCTCGATTTTAAAGTCTCATCCGAAAGACTGATTAGTAGTTTTAGTTGGCAAGCCCGGGAATCGAACCCACAATGTCGAGATTACAAGTCTCGCGCTAATATTACCGATTGAGCTAAGCACGCTGCTTGATTTGTAGCTCTAGTATTTGCACATATTACAAAGGCTTTTCGCTTGAATGACTTGGCTGAGTTATGGCTCTTCAATAAAAAAAGGGTGTTCATAAAGTTTGCCTGGACTACTCCTCTTATACCACTATTACAATTTCAATGGAATTTTACAGGATTGACCGGTAGTCAGTCATCTGTCTGTCCGTCCGTCACAAAACTTGCCCGGACTACTCCTCAAAAACTACGGGTGCAATTTCATCCAAACTTTACATGAATGATCAGTTCCAAGTCTCGTTGTGCATATCGACGGCCTTTTTCGGTTCAATGATTTTTAACTGGACTTTAAAAAAAAGTAGAGGTATTTGTACAGTTATGTCGGCGTTGCCGTCCGCAAACTTGTATATTGATCATAATTTTTAAGTTCTTGGTGTATTGGCTTCATACATGGCCACAACAACCCTTGGAACAATACTTTTTAGTAGAGCTGACTAACTTAGACCTTCATCCATAAATGACCTTGACCTTCAAGGTTAAATGTCTATTTTGCTTGTTTTTCGCTAATTTTTGCTATTAGTGGCTATAACTTTTTTATTTTTGAATAGATTGTCTTCAAACGTGAACAAAATAATCTTTTAGAATAGCCCTTCAAGATGACCAGACAGACCTTGACCTTCACTCATAAAAAAGCCTTGACCTTCAGGATCAAATGCCCAAATTTTGCTTGTTTCTTGCTTTTAGTGGCTATGTGGCTATTTCTTTGTTTTTTTAATGGATTGTCTTCAAACTTGAACATAACAATCCTTTTTTTGTGAAAAAATGTAGAGGTATTGTTACAGTCATGTCGGCGTTCCCGTTGCCGTTACTTTCACAGTCTCTTGTTATTCAGAATTCAGAATGGAATGGCACAACTTTTATTTTGTAAATTTTGTAATTGAACTATTTTATATGTTGTTATGTATGGATGAGACTTTAATAAAGATTATGATGATTATTAGATAGTACTTGTTTTACCATTATCTTCAAAATAAGTCTATCATTATCAAAAACTTGTTATTTGCAGACGACACAGGTACAACGGATATATTTTGTCACATGATGCCGTTCATGTTGTATGGCATACCTTATTCATGTGGACCAAATCGTCACGTCTGCTGCAAATTTGACTTTCATCAGAAACAATGTTTCCATGGGAAAAAACATACTGACGTGTTGCATGTTACGAATGATAATGTCGCTGAATTGTAAGTAAATGTTTTGTTTTTGTTCTGAATATTAACAATTTTATAAGTTTTATAATTATACACCTTACTTTGTCACTTTCCTCAACATTAGCATGCATACATCAATCAATTTCCAGACATGAAAAATCGTTAAGTTGTGTATTTCACATGACAATTTCTTTAACGTTTAATTATGGCGTTCTTTTCCCGCCAAACGTATAGCGGTAAGCTTGTTCTTATTGATTTGGTTACCGATGTTTCCACTCACGAAAAACGAATTAATCACCCACTTTGAAATTTCAGAGCAAATGAATTGTGGGAGCAGTTACAGATGAAGTCCGAATTGTTTCGGAGTAACGTTCTCCTGTTGCCGCATGGCGACGACTTCCGGTATAAAACCACAGAAGAATGGGACGAACAGTTTGAAAATTTGCAGACAATCTTTAATTACATCAATGACAAACCTGAAATGCAGATGAAAGTAATTAACAGAAAATTATTTCATGTATAATGTAAACGAGTTTTCATTCAGGACTTCTTGACTAAATGATCATAATGGCTGGATTAAGTATGAATAATTTCAGCTTTAAATTAATTTTGAGCGCTTAGAAATATACTGCAACTTTATCCTTTGCCATTTATAAGCAGTATTTTTCATAGACAGACTTTTAATTGGAAAGTGCTATCAATATCTTCAGTTATGGAATAGATCTTAGTTTTGATATACTGTCTTTATATAAAATACGTATGTCTGATTAAACGGAAAAGTTTTACCTTTACATATAAATGATAGTTTTTATTTATTCTATTCGATCAGTTTCATGAGTTATTTTTCAGATAGAGTTTGGGACTTTGAAAGATTATTTTAAACATTTACACAAAAGTATGGGTAGATATAAAGCTGATAATGACTATCCGGTACTGAGTGGGGATTTCTTTCCGTACACCGACAGAAGTGACCAGTACTGGAGTGGTTTCTACTCGACAAGACCTCACTTCAAGTTTTTGGTCAGGCAACTTCAGCAAGTCCTAAGGTATTTGTCTCTCCACCGACTTTCTATGATAAAGATAAAATAAAAAATGTACTTTTTTGAAAAGTTAAAAGGAAAAGTTTAAAAAGTTAAACTTAACCGTAACTATTTTGTAAAATTATTTTTTAGTTTGTTTTAAAATTTCAGATTTTCAACAAAAACGAAAGAAATAAAGGCATAAAGACACTATTCTTTTAAATATTGTTAAATAAGCTCATTTTTAGCTCGACTTTTCTATGAAAAGGGGAGCTATCCTACTCGCCCCGGCGTCGGCGTCGGCGTCGGCGTTGGCGTCACACCTTGGTTAAGTTTTTCGTACCACCCCACTTTATTTCAGAAGTATTACAAGTATGGCTTTGAAACTTACCATACTTGTTCACCATCATAACCTCCATCTACAGACAAGAGTACATAACTCTGTCAAGGTTTTTGACAGAATTATGGCCCTTTTTTGACTTAGAAAGTGTATTGAGCTTGGTTAAGTTTTTTGTACCACCTCACTTTATTTCAAAACCATTGGAGGTATTGCTTTGAAACTGACCATACTTGTTTAACCATCACGACCTTCATCAACAGACAAGAGGACATAACTCTGTCAAGGTTTTTGACAGAATTTATGCCCCTTTTTGACTTAGAAAATACATTGAATATGGGTAAAATCCACTTATTGCCTTAACCCTTTGAGATATTGCTTTGAAACTTTTAATGCTATTTCACATCATTACCCCCATCTGTACGCAAGAGAAGGTAACTCTGTCAAGGATTTGTTTTAAAAATTAAGGCCTTTTATCGACTTAGAATCTTGGTTAAGTTTTTAGTACCAGTCCACTTTTTGACTGAACTGTTTGAGATATTAATTTGAAAGTTGGAATACTTGTTTACAATCATGATTCCCAAACATGTCCAGGATAAGGTAATTCTGTCAAAGATTTTATTTGAATTATGGCCCTTAACTGTCAATGTTTTGTATTATAGGCAAGCACTAAAAAACTTAAAAAATCTAAAAAAATTCATTCCTATCCACTTGTTCACTTTACCATAAATTATGTCATATAAACATTGCTGTAATATTCAAGGGTATCAAACAACTAGTTATTTTTCTCTTTTTGTACTTGAAATTAAAATCAGTAGTATATGCATATTTCACATTTTATCTCGCCTATTTGATTGGTGGACAAGTGACCAGCTACGGACAGAACACATAGATTCTTGTATTGCCTTTTACTGCAAAAACTTTTTTTATTGGCAAGCAATAAAAAAGTCGAGCGCGCTGTCTTACGGACAGCTCTTGTACCTTCTCTTGTTAGATCTGCTGAAATTCTGTTCACGTTTTGTATGTCTTACCTAAACGTGAACACGAACATGTGGGATCTGTACAGTAAACTGGAGACGGTCAGACGAACACTAGCTCTGTCACAACACCATGATGCCATCACTGGTACAAGTAAACGTCATGTTATGAATGATTATAGTGATAGGTAATCCATTAAATATAACTACTAGTAGTAACCCTAGGAACATGTTTTATATATCTTAATTTGACTTTCCAAATTTATTTTTGTAACTGTCCAGTATCAATTTAGTTTGCACTAATTTAATTTTAGTCCAACTGAGTTGGAAGCTATACTTATTCAAACACTCTCGAATCCGGTTATAAATCCAGAAATTAAGTATTATAATTATTCAAGAAAAATGATTAAAAAACTAGGAAAAACTTACAAAAAATACAAGGCTGAAGCATCTGCTTTAAATAGATCGTTTTAGAGATTTTTTCAAAATGATAAAAGGAGAACACGGAGATGAAATAACCATGTATAAATGAAAGCATTGAACATCTTTTTGGTTATGCCCATTTTATTACAATTTAAATAAAAATATTGTTTTTAACAGAAACACCTTATTAGATTTTGAGATAAATATGTTTGACTAGATTCCATTCTCAAAATCTAATAATATGTTTCGTGTGATTACTTGTTATTTTATACAGTCATGAAGGAAATGACATTGTACGGTGCTTGAGTGAGATGCCCTCGGGCCATCCACATCAAATGAGGATAATTAAAAAAAA